AACAGTACCCGCGGGTACTGTAGCTCCATCGCCGCCTCTCCCTCTCAATCCTAGCAGCCACATAACACTTGCATTCAACTACACTAACTATAGAGGGAGAGGTATTTCCATTATCTTGATTCTTGAATTCAGGGTTACCATATCAATATATGCTGTTTTATCCTTCCAAGCCACCAGATGACACACATATATTGAGGGACAGGCTATTCTTTCGTGCTTAGGAAATTAGCTTCATGAAAACTGTTATCATATTATGTTGGGCTGCAAATACATTCATTTGCTCGCTATTTATTCAGCATGCTTTAAAGATGTCCAAATTAGAGAGCACCAAAAATATACATATTATACGATGAAAGTAACCTAGAGGAGTTTGTTGACCATGTTGAGCACGTCTGAACCGAATACAGAGTCAGCAGTTGTTCCCAAAAAAAGGGCTACAAACTGACTTTGGCTTCAGTTCTGTTGATTCAGATCCATCTGTACCTTATTCTGCATTTTCTAAAAAACGAATATTAATGTCATGGAAACATGTATTTTAACGTAGTAAGACTGGCACTGATCACAATAAATAGCAAGAAGAGAAACATAAGGCACTACAGGCTAGATATTGTATTGCATAGGGGTAGATAGTGATGGGGAGCATGATGAGGGTGTATGTTGAGACCTGAAATTAACTAGGATTGTTTCCAAGGTTTTCCTTACATAGACGATACTGAGGGCTTGTGGTTGTTTATTTAGAAAGATGGATCATGTGACAAACATATATGCTATACTGGGCAAAGCATATATGCATTTAGGTGCCTCTGCTATGTTTATGTCAGACATATCGAAACTGCTTGCTGCAGCAAGTGTTGCGGCAGCTGCTGCAGCAAGCCTGCCTACAACTACTATTCTTTGTAGTAGAAAATAAGCAGCAGCAACTGTTGTAGCTACTTCAAAAGCACAGCTGAGCAGGTCCCATGAGTTGCACAGATCGAGCTGATCCAATCTCGATGCACTGTAAAATCTTCTTTTTTGGTACTCATCATTTTCTACTTGAACACATATTTTGTTTTTTATTCTCTTAACCTGCACCCTTTCTTAGGACTAAAAGGATTTGTTGCTGTTTTGGTCTCTCTAAGTGTAATGCTTGGGGGAGAGGAGAGCACGGGAGGCTTGGATTGGAGATGATAAGAGCAGTCGTATGGTGCCCCTAAAGGTTGAGCTTCTAGCTGGAGAAAATATTGTTCAGGTAATAGACCTTGGTATTACTGGGATGTTGTTGGCTTCCGTTGCATTAACCTTTCCTCTACGCTCATCACTAGTGAGTCATCTATATTATTGTACTTTTTTTTTGCACGCCATCATGAGTGAGTCATCTGGTGCTATTTTCCTCGACTCTTTTTACCATATCCCCCTTTAATTTTCAAGCGTTAATCTGCTTGAAGCAAAGTTCAGATTTCAAATGTAGTTTTGCTGTCTTACATTACCAAAATCCCAAATACAAATCCCAAATAATGTTTACTTTTGCTTCTATTACTTATGCCCATACAAATCCCAAATACTTGTGCCAATGTAAAATTGTAAATCCCTGCACCTATTTTGCTACCTATTCAGACTGTCAGTGGTGTTTGAGTTGTCATTTTGTTTAGACTGAATACTTTGCTTGGTGCAGCTAGTGTGCCGATGGAGAACTAGCCACCATTCTTCCCCATCATCAACTGTAACATTGCCAATGAGATACCGGCCAATGTGCAGAAGTTACAGTATCTTGTATTTTTGCAAGCTGGCTTGGTATGTTGGCATGGACCATCTGTTGCATCTGTGATTTAGTAGTAGCAAGTTATTTTCTTATCTACGAGTCTACTAGATATGGTGTATGTGAAAGGTTACTACCAGTGATTGGTCATTTTCTTATCTACGAGTCTACTAGATATGGTGCAGCACACTATACTTGCTTTTTTAAATACAAAAATTGTCTATTTAGGAAGACATTGTTGCCTAATGAATGAAACTTAAATTGCCTAAGAAAATGCAGCTGGTGTTAGGTTTTATGGAGGTGTCAATAATCAGCATTTAGAGCTGAATAATTAGCAATTAGACATTCTTTGGCACGGTGTAAGTACTTGTGCCTTAGCCTAATTATTTATCACTTTACAATCACCCTCTCACAGCTCACAATTAGAGGTAGAAGATGAACTTGAGCACAGAATGCAGCACGAGCACACCTCTGTTGGAGTGCTGGTGCAACAAATTATACTGCTTTCCATTTCTAAACAAGTTGTAACCACATTTAGTGCACCTGCTACTACTATAGCCCAATGTTTTTGAGGCGTCGCCTAGTCGTCGCCTAGGCGACAAGGCGTGGTCGAGGGCCTGGGCGTCGGGGTTGCCACAACCTCAGCGTGTATGGCGTCCGCCTCATAGGGTTAGGCGTCGCCTAGGCGCAAATGGCGTCGGGCGGACGCCTACAACCGCGCCACGGATGCCGGATGACGGTCGTCGTGGGGAAGGGCGCCAAAGGAGCGCGCCCCACGGAAATCGACCGCTGGTGCCCAGTAGCTTCTTCACGGGGAAATCTAGCACGCGAGTCATTCACATGAGCGCGGCGAGAGAGAGAAGAAGAGAAGGCGGCGACGTGCCTCGACCTCCGGCTGGCGCGGACTCGCTCGGTCCATCGGCCGGCCGCCCTTCCTGCCGCTGGAGCCTCTCATGTCTCGCCATCCGCCCTGCCAGTGGAGCTGTCCGGCCCTTCCGCCTGCATCTCCGCTGATCGCCTCCGTCAGCCCCCTTCCTCCGGTATGCCGCTTGCGCTCTTGCTCTCGCTCTGCTCTCTGCTCTCTGCTCTCTGCTCTCTGCGCCTCCGTCGGGCGCCTCCACTCTGCTCTGCTTATCTGCTTGTCTTCCGTCTGCTCTGCTTGTCTTTTGTCGGGCCCTTTTCCAAATCTCGTGCTCTGCTGTCTGCTCTTCTTGTACTACTGCACTAGTATATGTATGTGCTCTGCTTGTCTGCTGTCTGCTCTGCACTAGTGCGGGAGAAGAGCTTTTGGAAAGGAAAGAAAGGAACGTGGGCTCAAGAATTGGCAACAAACGAGGTATCTATGTGCTTCCACTAGTATATAAAATTCTAGCTTACAACACCTTACAATATGTGTATGGCGTCGCTTAGGCGTCCGCCACAAACGCCTAGGCGTTGTGAAGGGGTCGGGGCCTCACCGCGCCCTCAAAAACATTGTTATAGCCACTACTAGCTACAGTTGGGCAGTATCGGGCTGAGATCGGCCACTACTTATTGCCATACTGTTGTCATGCTGTTACTGTAGATAGAGAATGCAGCAAAGGTGGCCTGCAGCCAAGGTGGAGTGTGTAGCAGGCTAGATGAAAAAGTGTAGACGAGCAATACAGTACCACTGAAAAATGTGCATGTAAATTTAGTTAAGCAATTTAATATTATTAGTTAGGCAAGTTATTAGTAATTTGGTGACAATTTTATTTGTGTCCAACACAAAATGTGCCTATAATCTCTATTCTTTTTACCGTCAAGCGTTACTCTGTGCTCTAAGTGATTTAACCATGCGCAGGTGACTAGGGGAAGCCTGAGATTCCATTTTCTTGAGTTGGGAAGTGCAGATTGGGAGTGGGGGTGCTGACTAATGCTGGTGACATATTGTTGTTCACAGATCATTCTTTTTTCTTTTTTTTCTACTGTTATAATGATCCTTTATGTTCAACCATTCAATTAGTCTGCCTTTTGTTAAAAAACTAGTTATTGACTGCCTCTGTTTGATATGTATTTTTGCAAATAAACCGGGGGTTAGGGGTGGGGCTGTGGGTTGCAAATGAACAAGACACTATACTTGCTTTTTCAGAATACCAAAATTATCTAATTAGGAAGACATTGTTGCCTAACGAATGACACTTAAATTGCCTAGGAAAATTGAATCCACTACAGCATTACTAACAGCAACCTGCACATCACCAATAGAAGCTTTAGGAACATAAGCATCATTTTTTATCTCCTACCAACAAGAAATTTTTGACGCATGTTATCTTTTTTTTTTTGAACATGCATGAATGCAGGCCATGTACATGTACAGAGAAGCAAGATACGGGCCAGTATAGAGAAGATGTGCAAATGTGTGGGACTAGATATATAGTGTTGTGCTTTTCGAAAAAACTGCAGATGCAAATGTATTCTTTTCTGATATGTGTTCTTTTTTAAAAAACATTGCCTTTTGTGAACGTATATATGTAGTACCTAAAAGCATACGTCTAGGCCTTAATTGCCTTTTTTTTTAACGTATAGATGTGCAAATGTGTGGTCGGTATCTGGTTCTGGCCACATCCCACAAAAAAACAAACGCAGAATAATTGCACTTTTACAAAAAAAAAAAAGAAGAAAGGCCGTGCGATAAGCCTAGCCGCTTCCCATATCTAATGGCATAGGTTATTATTATTTTCTTTATCTATGAAACATATATCTAGTCATTTTGTGGTATGTATAAATAAGCTCTTGACACCTGTGAATACAACCTCGTATGCAGTATTACTACAACAAATTTTAGTAGTATATAAATAAGTGAGAGGATTATTGCTCTATTACTTACTTTCTACTTCTAAACCTCTAATCATTTTAGAGCCATACGTTTCTTGTAGTTGCAGCAGTATATTTGTTCCTCTTTTTGCCTGGCCGATAAATAGCACAGAATCAACCGTCGAATGTCGTCTCCTTCCTTGGTTCTCCAAATTCCAAATCGTTGCCAGAGAAACCACCAAAACTGTTCGTAACGCACCAAGCACCAACCGGCCGGCAGCCCGGCACCCACCCCTTGCCTGCGCTGGGCCACCGCCACCACCACCACTCCCCCGTGGCGGCTTCTACAAGCTTCCGGAACCAAACAGCCCCTGGGCGCCGAGTTTTCTGAAAGCGGCGTCAGAGATCTCGTCGTCGGTGGCCATGGCGGGCCCGTGCTGAGTGCGCGGGCGGGAGCAAGGTGAAGGTCTCCGAGCTCGAGATCCCGATGCAGATCCGGGAGGGTCCGGCGCGGCGGCAGGCGCCGTCCGCCGCGGGGGCTCTGCGGTCGCCGATGTCCGCCATGATGCTCGCCATGTTCGCTACCATGGCCTCCTTCTACGTCGCCGGACGGTGAGTCCGCCCGCCCGCCGGTTTCCGTCATTAGTTTCTTCGTGAAAATGCTCGCCTGCTTGGGTTCTTCTGTTCGATTGTTTGGTATATGCGTGTGCTACCGATAACCCGTGGGGGGATTCTAGATCCCTGTATGTCTCTGGCGGGAGCTGCTCATGGTGATCTTGCTAGGGAAGTTATGATCCAGCCGGTGGTGCATTTTAGAACAGCGGGTGAGGTTTTTATCTCTCAAACGGAATCCAGTGCGAGGCTCACATTTTGTTGCGATGTTAGTACTTGTTTCTGCAGCACTCGGATTTTGCAGTGTCACAGTTCATGAGTGGAGTATTCCCTTTTGTGCTAGTATTGATGAAGACCAATCTTAGTTCTAAGGCACCTTACCTTTTAACTTGATCTGGATTGTCATAGTAACGGAAACTGTTCCTCTGTAGAAATGGTTTGTGTTTTGGCCTTTTGCTGTTTGTAGAGGAAAAATTGTTGACGTCCTGAATTTCAGATTGTGGCAGGATGCTCAGAACAGAGTTTATCTCATTAAGGAGCTCGACAGACGAACAGGCCAGGTAGGCACCAGAGATCTGGCTCTTTTGTTCTCTAGTGGAACGATCCACCTGTGCTGCTTACTTAAGAGCCCCATTAACTCTCTTGTGCATGTGATTCAGGGGCAATCAGCAATATCTGTGGATGATACCTTGAAGGTTGTTGCATGCAGGTAATTCTAAGTTTCTAACCTTTCAGGTTATATGCCGAAATTGCCTTTCAATGCACAATCTGACAATTTTCTTAATGCGTTTGAAAGTATGAACTTTTGCATTTGCTGTCTAATTGGAACTAGTGCTCCAAACATGCAGAATTTGTTGTAGTATGAGAGTTTGGAGCTGTACTAATTGCTTCTGTGTAAACATCCTCCATTTTTTAGGCAGCAAGGGAAGCGGTTGGCATCGCTTGAGATGGAGCTTGCTGCAGCAAAGCATGAAGGTTTTGTTGGCAAATACAATCCTGAGACAAATGGAACTCGCTCTGGGAAAAAGCCACTGATTGTTATTGGAATAATGACTAGCTTTGGGAGGAAAAACTACCGTGATGCTGTCAGGAAATCATGGCTTCCGACAGGTACACTTCATGCTTGCATTTTTCTTACATCTTTTTTTTTTTTTGTATTCTGACAGACAGCAATATTAATAATTCCATAAGAAAAGAATATTAATACCAAAATTTGAAAATTCAGTTCTCATATTTATTATGTCAGAAAGTCCTTTTTTAGTTATTATGTCAGAAAATTTGTAAGAACTTTAAATGATATCCTGAAGATTAGCCATCACAATATGAAAAACTTGGATCTTGGATGCAGATCTGCCTTTTGTAATGTTAATACCTTTTGGTCCTAGACATTTGTCATCTTGTAGGTGGTTGATTGTGTTTTGAAACAAATGACCCAGTTTTGATTATTCTCCCATTGAAGTACTATGGATATGGTACCCTTATCTTTAAATTAATGTTTTAAATTTGCTTTCTGTTGATAAATTAAAAAAATACAATTCTTATTTTACTATTCTCTTAACCTAGTGTTGTGTGTAGTATCCTACTTATCTGTGTAGTTTAATTGTACTTCTCTGCACAGGTTCAATGCTGAAGAAACTTGAAGAAGAAAAAGGCATTGTAGTACGTTTTGTTGTTGGAAGAAGGTACCTGATATCCATTACCCTGCTGGAATAAACATATGAAGTTTAGATATCTGATAGTTCTCATGTGTAGTGCAAATCGAGGAGATACTTTTGATAGGGAGATTGATGACGAAAATAGGAGCACCAAAGATTTCTTGATCTTGGTAAGCCTGATTGAACAATTGATTCTGTAGTACTACTCTATGTTGATGGATTCAACGATAACCTTGTTTATGTACTTGCTGTGCTCTTTGCTTAATGTCGATTGAAGATTCATATACTTTGCCACTTTGGTGGTTCTTGCTTTTGTTTATCTTTGTATGTGCTTTAGTAATTTTATAGTCCGATCCTTTGGATTTTTTTAGCATTAAAGTTCGATGTAACTAACAAAAAGGTGTTAAGATGAATGTTGCCATTAATAAAAATTCTTACTCATATTTTAGCTCAACATGCTGTTGATTTAGTTTCGGAACTTACTATTAAGTGGCATTGCAGGATGATCATACAGAGTCAGATGAAGAGCTTCCTAAGAAGACAAAAAGTTTCTTTGCTAATGCAGCGGATACATTCGATGCTGCATTTTATGCTAAGGTCAATGATGATATATACATAAACGTTGGTATGTGCCATCTGTTAACTTTGAGGGGCTCTATTAGTGGTTTGTGTTTTATTACATAGGACATAAATTTGTAGGATCTTTGCTACTTCCTCATGTTCCAGATACTTTTGGTATCTGGGTATGGTTCCTAAAGTTTGACTCTAGTTGTTCATGTTTACCAGATATGCCAGTGAAACCATTTAAACTAATTTTCAGCAGTAGCTGCCACAGTTTGAAAAGCATCCAATAATTTAGATTGATTTTTAAAACATTATGAAAACTGATTAATTCTGGACAATCATTTATCAATTTTGGAAATATAAGTTCCTACCTTTTCAAGTCAGGAGGTTTTGAAACTCTCCTTGTGCACTGAGATGAGATTTACAAAAGGCTATTGTCATTTTCTGTCTCTGCTTGCAACAAGCCAACAACTTCGATTACCTGTGATACCTCTACATGAAAAAGTAATGACTATTAATCTTTTGAACTCCGCTGACTTGTTAAAATGCTCATTCTGCATGTTTTGGAATACTGGATTGCCTCTGGCAACAATTGCCTGTTGTCATTGTGTAGATGTGGTTTCGGAATATTAACAGGAACTGTACTTCACATGGAACAACTTATTGTTTTTTTGCAGATACTTTGAGCGCAATGCTCGAAACTCACTGGGACAAACCCCGTATCTATATAGGCTGCATGAAATCGGGCGAGGTTTTTTCTGACTCGTGAGTGTTACAACAATTCATTTTAGGAACTTGATAGTTTTCTTTTCCCCGTTTGAGTGCTTCTTCGTTTGAGAAACTAAACTAGAGCTCCATTGAAAACAGAACCCATAAGTGGTATGAACCAGACTGGTGGAAATTTGGTGATGGGAAATCGTAAGTATGCTCGCCTTAGCAATTTTAGCTTCTATTACATTTATTATTTGTACTAGATTTAACATTCAAATCAATTGCTGTTGTGGCTCATCTACTTCCTTTTGTCAAACAATAGGTACTTCCGACACGCTTCTGGTGAAATGTTTGTCATATCAAGGGCCGTAGCTCAGTTCATTTCTATAAACAAGTATGCAACCTTGTGCACAGATTCTATATCCTTCTACCACAAGGATCTGAAAAGAAATGAGAATTTTTTAATAAGTACTTTGATTAATTGTATTTATGGATATTTTTTTGTGATAGGTCTGTTCTCCGGACATATGCCCATGATGATGTTAGTGTAGGATCGTGGATGATTGGCCTTGCTGTGAAGCATGTAAATGAAGCAAAACTGTGTTGTTCATCGTGGCCCTCAGGTTGGTTGGCATCTTTTGACCTTGATTCCTTTCTGTTTGATATATGTTTACGTTGTTCTAATGATCTTTTTTTTCTTACTGGTCAAATCTGACTCTTGATGATTGCTTCCATGCGATTAAGTCCTTTTGTTTGCATACTTCGTCAGATTCTTGATTCTCCTGTTTTTTAAATCCATTTGGACAATCATTATGTTTGTGAATACTGAAACTTCGAGGACGAGAGAAGTAACATGGGGAATAGAGCTAGGGAGCATATCCATTGAAAACTAAGCTATGTTCAGCTTACCTCGCAGTTGTTACAACTGCAAATGTCCTATGAATACTAAATCTAATAAAGCCTATTCTTCAGCATGTATTCTGGATTACGAATTTCGATGATGAACCTGCTAGAGTTAGCAGTTTATGATCAGCAGATATTTATTGTCTCGTGTGTAACAAGTTAACCCAAAATTTAGTTTCAATTTTCCTTGGACCTTTGACTACAAACCATAGCAGGCTTCCCAAGTTATGGTTTGCTTAGGTTTTGGACAGAAGGCAATTGTTTCATGGTTTAGCAGAAAATAGAATGGACGCAAATTAGCTTGTTTTGTACAAAAACAGTTGGTTATTTTCATGCTGCCTGTGCACTGATGGGCTGTTTGGATGGATACCCCTGCTGACCAGGCCAAATTTTGGCCATTGACCGAGGAGGCTCTGGCACGTTTGGATGTGTGCGGTTTTTTGGGTTGGATGACTGCTGTGACTAATCTCCAGTTCAATTTGATGCTCCTGCCCGGCTGATCTGGGGCGGCTGAATCAGCTGCCAAAGTTTGGCCAGCTGTCAAGATTTGGCACATCCTACATAGGTGGCATCCAAACGCGCCCTGAGTTTCCTCACTGGTCCCTGGATAAAGGGTCCTGTTTATTTAGGTTCTAAATCTGTCGCTCAATCTATTATATGGCTTACCACCTTTATTAAATCTGAAAGATTGGTGGATCAATGATATAACCAAAGGCAGTGAATATTGAACTACTGAGATTGGAGAAATGAACACATTTTTGCTTGTGTGTTATTCATGTAATGAGTTGTTGGATTGGTGGTCATTTTCATCACAAATTCCCAGATATTTTTTCAGGGCTAACCACTAAGATAATTTTTGCAGGTGCGATGTGTTCAGCGCTATAACGAGCAACAATGCTCGTGCTGAGGAAGAGTTTTGCAGACACCGTGCCTGGTGGATATAATACATACAATATGCAGAGAATGAGGTCGAATTGGTATTGAGAAAATTTTGTTTTCTTCTGCCATCTTCTGTAGCGTCCTTTGGAGGAAGCTTGTGCGAGCCAGTGCATACTGAAATCAGATATCTTGTTTTCCAAAGGATAGGTCTTGCATACTTTCGTTGCAAGGCCCACTACACTAGAATCATCAGAGTTCTAACGAAAAGCCGTCTGCAGATTGTATCCTGTTCCGCGTGCCATTTGTAGATAACCCTTACCATTCTTTTTTCTGACAGACACTGCCATTGTTGGAGTGACAGAAATCAATAGCAATTCAGGAAATTATTTTGCTCCAGAATACATACATGTATGCGTAATGCCTGTCTTAAGACCTGTTGCCATGGCTGTCAATTTCTGACACATAAGGATGCCCTTTGGCAGTCAAGAATGATCCTCTGGATGCTTTGAACGTACAAAAAAATTTCCAATAGTCCATGCAGATCATTATTGTAGATAGTATCGCATGGAAGTCTTACTTATCTTAAATGCATGGCGACCAAATATTCTCATCATTGACTTGTTCTTATTTCTGAAGCACGTTAAACAAGAAGTGAAGCACGTTTAACAAGAAGCGGAAATAGTTCAAAGTTCCTGCTCAAACCCGGAGTTATCCTCCAAACTTGTGGAAATAAAACTAATTCTTGTAGAGTTTTGCAAAATCGTATAAAATTCTGAACCTCACATGTGATGAGGATCTGAAATCTCAAAAGAATAAATTATAGGGGTTTTGGTTGAAAACTCAAAAGAACAAATTATAAGGGGGTTTTGGTAACTCAGAAGAATAAATTATAGGGGTTTTGGTTGAAAACTCAAAAGAATAGATTATAGGGGGTTTTGGTTAGCCCAGTGTTCATGCGGCTGACGGCTGCAGTGGCGTCATGCAGTGAGTAGACGTCTAGCGAGTGATGCACAAGCACAAGTGCACAAGCCAAACGCTCTACTTGTGGTTTGTTAGGCAAGAAAGCTTTCTGGTCTCTCAGTTTGGTCTCCAACAACACCAACAAAGCCTTTAAGTCCCAATCAAGTTAGGATAGGCTCGTTGTTTGGTCCCCATCGGTCATCCTATCTAAGGCTAAAAATCTTTGGTTATTCCATCCTTTCAAGTCTCTTTTTATTGCCTCTACCCAAGTCAACTTGATTCTCTTCGCGTTACTATCAATTCCAATAAAAATAGTGACAGAAATAGAAAGAAAGCATCTCAACCGGTGTTGGACAAGCTTTCTTCAATTATCAACCCCTAATCTATCACGTATATCATCGTTCAACTATCCCTTCTTGTATGATGCAACGCAACGTACGCATTCCCGCGACACTTATCTGTTGAACATGTCTCTCGGTTTGGTCCCCATCGGTCATTTTTCCTCTTGTTTGGTTATAACTGCCGATTCACCAATCCAATAAAAATAGTGACAGAAATAGAAAGATTATATTGGTTTCAGAAATTATCAATACACAAATTCTACTATCTTTCTACCTATGCATGTACCATTGTACATTGGTGAATTGATGATCATGAGAAGATTTATGGCTTATTTGTATATTTGGAGGAGCCGCGAGGAGAAGCCACGTAGCTTTTCCTCCTGACCTAAAAATAGCTTCGTGTCTTCTACTATTCACCACAAAAACAACTCCTAAAGTTTGGTGTGGTTCCTCCAGCTTCTCCGTATAAGCTGCTACTAGAGCTAGAGTTGTGCTTATGAATTTCTATGCTTACTTGAAAAAATGAACTGCATAAAAGAGCACATATTGCCACTGCCATGGCTATCAGGTAGTATTTACTTATCTTTACATTCGCATAGGGTGTGAAAATGAAAATAGAATATGTAGTTAAAAAAGATTGTATAAAAAGATTGTATTTGGATTCTTCATAGGCATTTCACGGGATTTCAAATTTTAAAGAGAGACAACAATGTATGTAAGGATCAAACTCACTGTGCATAACGTTCATGAAGTATATCATATCTGGTTTTGGCTCGTAAAAATGGATGTGCCATGAGGCAACTAATCTCATATAGCTTGTTTAATGAAATTTGTACTCATCAAAGAATTTATTGTGACATTTTTGGCATGTTAGTATTTTTTAGATAAAAGTTATTGCTTATTAACGAGTTTTTTTAATATCAAAATGGCACAATATGAATGATATAATGTCAAAAAAATATATCTTGCAATCAATACCATCCTCTTCGTAAGTGCTGAGATCACACTTTGACTTAGCCTACAAATCGAGACACGACTACGATGTCTCCACACGAGAAAAAGAAAACCTAACGCCCTCACAGGTCTCTGGAAAGCGACACCAACCCTCCCCCTTCCTCCTCCCTCCGCCTCCTCTATTCCAGGACCCTCCTCCTCCTCTTCTAGAGGGAGGGACCACAGCCGCCGCCGCCGCCCGCCGCACCGCCGCCCCCCGCCGCCCGAATCCCCGATCTCGACTCTCGAGCGGAGCCGACGTGGCCTAGGGTTCCCGAGCCAGTCCGGCGCTATGGTGGGCTGCTCTCGGGGCTCCCTCCCCACCTGGATGACCGCCGCCGCCGCGCGGGTCGACCTCTCGGGCGGCGTAACGCCTTCGCACCAGGGCTCGTCCTCTCCGTCCCCCTCCTCCTCGGGTCCCGCTCCGGCCGCGAGGGCGGACCAGGAGCTCGGGATGTTCGAGCGCGCGCTGTCCGCCGCCGGCGCCGCCTTCGTCTCAGCTATCATCGTCAACCCTCTCGATGTCGCCAAGGTCGGTTCCCCGGGGCACTCACACCCTCACTCACGCAGGCCTCTCCTCCCCGAGAGTGTTTGTGTGCGTCCACTTCGGCGTCTAACGCGTTTCCTTTGTCTCGATGCAGACGAGGTTGCAGGCCCAGGCGGCAGGGGTGCTGTACCACCAGCCTGCCCAGATGGCGGCGCTCGGCCCGAATGCGGTGAGGAATCCGATTCATTCTGTTCTGCGTTGCGTGCGGTTTGGATTTGGCAATGGCTAACTGAGTGGTTGATCTCTGCTTTGAGTGCCTACGTGTAGGTTTTGTATTTTGGGTGACTGGATTAGAGAGGAATCCGAAATGGAGCTTGTGTTTATAGATGTCTATGCGTAGTGCTGGGCTCTTGGCATGGCCCCTGTGGGATTGGCCAAGTCAGTGGTGTGATTCAAATGTTTGTAGCTATGCTCATCTGTCAGCTATTGCCGTTTTGCTTGTTTGGGCCAAAGGCATGCAAATTTCAGGACATGCTTTTTGTGATTTTCATGCTTGGCCAGGAAGGCGGGTAAGGAATGCCATGGATTGGTTTGTGTTTGTGCTAGTGATCAGTGGGCTGCTCAACCAACCTGAACTGGGTGCATTGCAGAGACTCTTCTTAGTTCATTTCCTTCAACTGCTTGTTCAACAAGCAGATATGGATACTTAGGTAGTTTGTCAGGGGTGTTCAGCTATTGCACAATGTGGGATTTGGCTGCATTTTGTTACTTTTTGGTAGATGTACTCATTATGTTATTTATCTTGCTATAAGACCACTGGGGTACTAAACTGTGGTGCTGATTGTTAGGATGAGGTCTGTGATGATTCTGGCCATGCAACCAATTTTAGGATGTGTGTGTAGACAACCCATTTTTTTGTTGATATAGATGGTGTTGATTTCTTAGTTAAAGCTATTGTCTTTGATGACCACGCTTTATTGGAAAACTGCAATGCTTTTTATGTTAGTATAAAACAAAATTTCATTTCTAAAATACTGTTGGTGGTACTGTGTCAGTTGTCAACAGTCCAATTCCATTCTCATGGCTTTGATCCTCAAACTAGTGTATTAGACTTGACTTGAGGATTGCTGCTGATGTGTTTCAACGTTTCTAGATCCTGTCTGAATTCAGATGCTCTCCTTCATGCACACGCGGTCTCGTATTAGGAAGTGAGCTAGTTTGTCCTCCTGATTGCTTCCAGTACAAGGGAACACTTGATGTATTCTTGAAAGTGGTTAGACAGGTAACTAAGTGTTCATTCTTTTGATACTTTCTCTTTTGAGCAAGTGGCAATATATGATGGACAGATAAACTCACAGCAGTGCTTACTTGGTCGTTTTAGGAGGGTTTCAGTAGACTATGGAGAGGAACAAATGCAGGCTTAGCATTAGCTGTACCCACTGTAAGTTATCTACTACACATTCTATTTTTGTGGTCATTACCTTGTTATAAATGTTCTATGCTGCTCTGTTGCCTGTGGAACATCTATTTAGTAGTTTCAATCTGTCCTATTTGAAGTATTCGTATAATTTTCACTTAGCTTTGAAAGCAAATTTAGTTTATTTTGTCCTTTGTATGGTGAGATATGTATATTTCTTTTTTTTTTGTAGAAGAAGCTTTATGGGGTTTACCTCTTGGACTAAGTTGCACTTGTCTAACTGAGGCGTGTAGTATTGTAATTTGTGTTGAGTACTTCAATTTTTAACCATATCACCCAGCAATTCTGTATAACTTGTTATCTCCATTTCTCTCCATTTCCCCCTTTTGTACAATGTAAATTGAATCCATATTACTTTGCATGTTTAAACCAATTGCACCTGTTACTAATTTCTTTGATCACAAACAGGTTGGGATATACTTGCCTTGTTATGATATATTCCGCAACGGGATTGAGGATTTCACAAGAAGTAATGCTCCTGGCTTGACACCATATGCACCACTAGTAGCAGGATCTGTTGCACGTTCGTTAGCATGTATTGCTTGTTCTCCAATTGAGCTGGCAAGGACGCGTATGCAGGTACACCTCCATGTGAAGTGTTTTATATATGGGCTCATGCCTTATGTAGTTTATAGTTTAGTTATGTCTTATAAGGCATTCATCTCAGATCATTGTTTCTGCGCACAATTTAGTCTTATGTAACTCTTTTTCCCTCCATTCGACATCAAAATATCAAGTAGTCACTAGTCTATGGTAACAGGCATATAAAGAGTTTCGTCCTGGCGTAAAGCCTCCTGGAATGTGGAAAACCTTGGTTGGTGTTCTCTCACCACTTGCAAGTTCAAGTCAGAATGGTATGTTGGTTTTAACTGTTTCTGTAACTAGTTGATTATACATATTCTTTTTAACCGGATGACATGTCGGCATCAACTTTACTATTTTGGCACTTGTCAACTTCCCTTATTCTTGTCTTGATTCTAACAGCTTATTGTTTTGATTGGTGAAACAGTACAAAACTATCGTGTTCTGTGGACTGGGGTGGGTGCACAACTTGCTCGAGATGTTCCTTTCTCCGCTATATGCTGGTCAACTCTTGAGCCTGTAAGTTTCTGCCCTCTTGGTCATGGGAACTACTATTTGTTAAATTCATGCTGCACTTTCATGACATGAATCTCACTTTGCTAACACCATGTGCAGATTC